GCAATAATAGAACTTTTTAATAAAAATTAATTTTTTTCTTGAACATTAACTTACCAGACACTGAATAACTGCACAAATTAATAAGCCTAATGCAAATAAACCTATTTTTCTTGTTCTCCGAAAGCAAAATATTTCCTGTTGCACACACCAAACAAGTAGTCCAAGACTAATGACGTGGCAATCGGCTGCTAAAATACTCGCTGCTAGTATTAGTGGAGAGAAATGGTGTGCCTGTGTGTAAGGCGGATAAGGGAAATGAATGCAACACGATTACAGTAATCAGTCATTAGAGAATGTTGTAGTTCGTTATTAATAACTAGAGGTGTGGTGCACGACATTCGTGCACTCGGTGGGGGGGTTCCTCAGCCCGGCCTGCGCCCTCTCGCAGTCTGGGAGCCTTCGGGGGATGTCTGACTGGCAGCTTAGGCCCGCTCCCCGAGGAGCAGGCAGTCAGACATCCTTAGCATTGCCTTGGAGGCAGGAGAGGCTTCCACCACCACCACTGTGCTTGCCAGCAGTGAGCCCAGCTTGTGGCTGAGCAGTGCTCGCCCTGTGGGAGCTCACTGACCACCAGGGGGCAGCTCCTGCATTGAGCATCTGCCCCCTGGTGGTCAGTGTGTGTCATAGCGACCTGTCATTCCGCCGTTTGGTAGATTTGCATATTAGCCTTTTATTATATAGGATTATGTATAACAGGATATTGTAAGAATTAAGTTACAAAATTTTTATTAAAACATTTTTTACATACTGCTATATTGGCTGGGCTGCAAAAATATTGGTTGTGGGCCGCATGTGGGCTGAGAGTTTGACATGCTTGGTCTACAGGGTAGGGCAAATGGTATTCACCAGCTACCTCAGATTCAGATTTGGCACCAATGCTGAGCTTGAGCCACACAGCAAAAGCCACAGTATACACCCAAGCCAGCCCCCACCTGCTTGGGGCCTGGAGACCTTTGCAGTGGGGTCGGGACTCAGAGAGTCATCAGGGTTGAATGAGCAGAGTCCACCAAGCTACTGTCGATTCAGATTTGGCCAACACAGGAAAGATGGTACCTGCCCACTGGCCTTGTGGGAGGAGGTCTCCAACAAGGGGACAATGGTAACCATTCCTCCAGCCCTCACCCTGAATCCACACAACTCAGTTTCTCCCTGTGTGTCTCTGGCACTCCCTGAGCTTGATCAGAACTTCTTGAGAGTTTTTTAAGAAAGATAGCTAAGCTAGCTTAGGCTGGCTGCTTGCTGCCAAAATAGTCTCTGGCACTGAGGGAGTTGGGGCAGGGTCTCAGGGAGTCATTAGGGTGTAATGAGTGGAGTTCAGATTCTGATTTGGCCATGTGGGAGGATGGCTAAACACAGGGAGAATGGCGACTGTCCCTTCAGCCCTCACCCTGAAACTGCATAATTCAGTTTCTCCCTTTGTGCCATTTGTACCCCTGAGCTTGACCAGAACTCCTCAAGGGTCTTTTTTGTTTTGTTTTGTTTTAAATATATTTTTATTGATTTCAGAGAGAGGAAGGGAGAGGGAGAGATAGAAACATCAGTGATGAGAGATAATCGTTGATTGGCTGCCTTCTGCACGCCCCTACTAGAGATCGAGCCCACAACCCAGGCATATGCCCTTGGCTGGAATCGAACCTTGGACCCTTCAGTCTGCAAGCCGAAGCTCTATCCACTGAGCCAAACCAGCTAGGGTTCCTCAAGAGTTGTGTTGGTTTTTTTTTTTTAATATATTTTCATTGATTTCGGAGAAGAAGGGAGAGGGAGAGAGACAGAAACATCAATGATGAGAGAGAATCATTGATCGGCTGCCTCCTGCATGCCCCCCACTGGGGATTGAGCCGGCAACCCGGGCATGTGCCCCTGACCGGAACCAAACCCAGGACCCTTCAGTCTGCAGGCCGACGCTCTATCCACTGAGCCAAACCAGCCAGGGCTCAAGAGTTTTTAAGAAAAACTGTAGCTCAGCACTCTCCCTCTTGGGAGCACACAGCACCTTTCCTTTCCATCCCTCCTCTTCTTCCCCCCAGGCACGTTACCTTTGCTGTCCTCTCTCCTGAGCTCCAAGGACCCTTATTTTGCTTCTGTAACTTGTTTTCTGAGCTTACACAGCCCAACTGGCTCACTTTTAACTACCTCTGTAACTTTCTAAATAAACTTTCTCTTATGATTTGGATAAAAAAACTGTCGCTCATGCCAAGGCTGGCTGCTTGCCACCAAATGAGCCTCGGTCACTGCAGGAGTTGGGTGGGAGGGAGTCTCAGGAAGTCCTCAGGGTGGAGCAAGTGGAGTTCACCAGGTTAATGCAGATTCATATTTGGGAGTGTGGGAAGAGACCTCAACACAGGAACAATGGCAGCCGCCTCTCCAGCTCTCACCCTGAATCATACAACTCACTTTCTCTCTGTATGTCTCTGATGCCCACCTCCCCCAGAACTGCTGTCCCTCTGCCAGAGCCCAGGGTGAGTTCCTGCAAGAGAGTGTCTGTGTGTGGGCCTTTAAGAGGACACCTGTGTCCTAACTGTGCAGGAGGCAACCAATCAATGATTCTCTCTCATCATTGTTTCTATCTCTCTCTCCCTCTCCCTTCCTCTCTGAAATCAATAAAAATATATTTTAAAAAAAGAGGACACCTGTGTTTCTAGCAGTCTTCTGTCTCACCCAGAAAATGGAATCTCTGCTGATTTTCACAGCCAGGTGTTTTATGGGCTCTTTTCCTGGCACTACTCTAGGCTGGGGAGTGCAATATGGGGCTGGGACTCCTCACTCCTCAGGGGGTACCTCTGCAGCTGATACATCCTTCCCAACCACCACACCTGTGAGACCAGCCCATTTCGCATCTCTGTCCCTCTTACCAGTCTCAGCATGGCCTCTTCTTTATATCCTTAGTGATAGGACTTCTGTTCAGCTAGTCTGCAGATGGTTCTCTAGGTTGATTGTTCTATAATGTAGTTGTAATTTTGATGTGGTCATGGAAGAAGGCAAGCACAGCATCTATCTAATCCACTATCTTGACCAGAACAGAAACAAGCTCTTTAACTTGGTCCCAACTGCTGGCAGAATGATGCAACACACATAGGCCACTACCTGAAAGCTTACAAAAGCATGCGCTCCCTCTTTATATGCTGTTTTGATTTTTGAATCATATAAATGCATGCCTTATTTAAATGTAATATACATGCATGCATATCTACACTAATAAAAGGCAAACATGCAAATTGACCACACCTTCGCTACACCTAAGCCACGCCCACCAGTCGATCAGAGTGGCTATATGCAAATTAACCCAATCAAGATGGCGGCCAGCAGCCACGGAGCTGGAGCAAACAGGAGGCGGTTGCCTGGTGGCTCCGGCCGGAGCAGCGAGGGCTGTGAAGGCGGCTCCGGCCGGAGCGGCACCAGTTTTCCTCCGGCACCCGGGACCCAGGCCTATTGCATGAATCTATTCATGCAACAGGCCTCTAGTATGTATATAAATATCCAGAATGTTAAGTAGAAAAATAAGATAGAGTGATGCATCTGATTTGTTATCACTTATGTAAATTTCAATAATAAGTGTATGCACAAAACAATACTATATATCATTATGGATGCTATTCACATGTTTGCAAAAGCATAAACATGAGACCATCAGTAGTTCTAGTTCCTTGGGTAACTGCCAGAGAAATTCTGTACATTTACAAGTATTCTATGCATATATACTTACCCCATTTTGGTGCACAAATGATAGCATAATGTTCTACACTTTGCTTTTTTGGGTAGTTTCACTGTGCATTTATGCTTTTGACAAAAGAAACAAAAAACTTCATAAAGCGAAGTTATCTACCATACACACTTGAATAATATTGTCACATCTGATAGCATAATCTTCAAGTTATTTCTTTATACCTTGTACTGTCTGAAATTAATTAATATGTTTTCTATGGCAAAAACCCTTTCATTAACCATTATAAAAATAAGTTAAGAACAAAGTTTACTTTTTCATATTAAAAGTGCTTCATCTTTTGTCCTTATTTCTCATATGCTATTGCACACAGTAAAATTGCTACTAAGCTAGGAAGACAAATGGTATCGCTCCTGTTTTGTTTTGTTTTTGTTTTTTATAATGTATATTGGTATTTTCTCATTATGGGAAAACCTCCAAGTTTTGTCATTACTTACTCAACTAGTGGAAATGCCTCTCCTGGGGCAGGGCCTGGGGTTTCAGTCTGTTCTCAGCACATGCTCCTGCCACAGGTAAGTCTAAGGGCACAAAGTCAGCATCTGGTTAGGAGGTGCTCACCTTGCCCCATCCTCCTCCCCAGGGCTTCCTCATTGCTGAGTACTGACCATAGTCTGTTGCTGGAGGTTAATTCCAGAATGTCATAATAAATTCAAGGAGTTCATCAAAAGGTTGATGGAACTTGAGGCTTCAGCAGGGCTGAATCATATTACCTGCTGCTGGAATAGCTGAAAACATTTCCTGAAGATCTGCATATATTATTGCCTACTGCCAGAGAGCTGAGGACAGTTCCCCCAACCTGATAATCTTACTGTTTACCAAACTTTACCTTTGATATGTATATCTGCTTTGCTATAGGGCAAAATGTGTTAATAAAAAGCTAGGGGTCCGGAGACTCAGGGAACTTAGTTACTAAAGCTAAGCCTTCCCTGGCTCCCCCCAAAATGCCTTCCAAATTTATATTTTATGTCTAGTTAATTTAATTTACTCGCAGCCCCTTCTCCAGATTCCTGAACCCTAGTAGATGCAGGATAACACCCCAGCAGTCTATCCTCCTTCCATTGTAACCGGCCTGTGATCATCACTGTTGCTGGTCTTAGTATCTTCACTTCCTACATAGGGACATGTAGCCATCTTCCTTCTCTTAGGAGTAGTTTGAAGGTGTATATCAAAGTATTTTGTAGCCTACTAAACATTAATGTGCATGATCATACTGATAGTCAGATACCAATTCGAATAATGGGTGCTTTACTTACATTGTTGTGTCTTGTAATCCTCACAGTGCACTGCAAGGTTGACATTATTATTCCCAACATACAGATGAGGAAACTGAGGCTCTGGGAGTTAGGTGAATTCTCAAATAGCTAAAAAGGGGAGGAGTAGGAATTCAACCCAATTGGCTTAACTGCAAAACCCATGCTTTTTTTTTTTTTCACAGTAATACTATCTCCAGATACAAGGTCTTATTTTCCTACCCTACCTCCAGGAAATTTAGCTGAGAAACCACAGCCTCTATTTACTTTTTGGAACAGACTTCGGAACGTCTCTCCCCAGAAACTTCCTGGACTGTACAATTTTATTAGTCCTGCTAATGTTTTCCTGAATAATGCAAATAAAGTAAATATGATATTATAGAAATAAGAGTATCATCTTACCCCAGGTATGCAAATCATCCATGACACAAAAAGGAAGAACATAAAGTTTCCTTTGCCTTTTAAAAAAGAAGCTAAGCAAAACCACAAGCCAATAAATATATAAAGGCAGCCAATGCCTGGAACTATGACGAGATCATGTCAAGAACCAAGGGTTATGATTAATCCAAATCTGTGCAATGGGGGGCTGGAGGGACCCCTTTCCCATGTGTGGTGAGTTAAAGTAGGAAACAAATATTTGACTATTGAGAAGTGAGGTCTATGTCCCCTCCCCTTGAATGTGGACAGGCTCTGTGACTGCTTTGACTAACAGAATATGGTAACAAGTGGTGCTCTGCCCGTTTCCAGCTCCAGGCTTTAAGAGACTGTTATGGACTGAATGTTTGTGTCTCTCCAAAACTCATATGTTGAAACCCTACCCCGACCCATGTGATGGCATTAGAAGCTGGGACCTTGGTGTTTAGGGTTAAATGAGGTGATTAGGGCTAGATGAGATATAGAGTCAGGAGAAAATTTGCTCTCTGCTCTCCACCAGTCAGGATATATCAAGAAGTCATCAGCCTGACTAGCCTCTCTTCCCACTTTTTTATTGTTTTTGCTTTGATCAGAGTAAGGAAACCTTACCTTCAGTAAGCAATTATATGCAAACCCACCATGCAAATCAAGGCCTGGGTTGCTTCCTAGGGGACTGAAAGAGAACCCACAGAGATTGTTTTCTAGCTCATCCATCCATCCTAATCTCAGAGTCAGCCCAGAGAGGCCCCAATGACTGTTTGTGGACCAGAAAATAAATGAGGTGTCAAGTGAGCCGGAGGTAGAAGAAAACTTATATACCAGGCAAAGGTACACTCCCTCAGTCAGCCCACCCAGTGGGGCTTTCCAGCCTCCTCCAGAATCCCCTCCGCATATGCCCAATCTCCTCATTCACCCCACATCCCAGTGCCTGCTCATGGAGTCTCCTGCCACCTGGAAGGTTTCCTCTTTCCTTTCTTCTCTCTGACTGTATAACTCTAAAGCGTCATTTAAGACCCAGATGATGTCTCCCCTGCTCAAGGAGGCCTTTGTCAGTGTCTCCTTGCCTGCTTCCAAGGATATGCGTCATCCTTTGAGTTCAGGGCACTAGTCTTATAGTCCTGCTTCTCTCATGGTGCCTCCCACTAAGATGGCCACAAGCAGGCCCTGCACTGAGCACACCACAACCCTTTCAAAGATCTATGTGCTTTTACACATGCTATCCTCTCTTGTCTCGATTGTCCTTTCCTGGCATTATCTCCTGCAAGATCCCATCTCCCTGAGGAGCCCTCCCCACATCCTATCCCACATATTGCCTTTCTCTTCTCAATGTTCCTACTCTGCTCAGAACCTATTTCCACCATAGCATTTGCAGCATAGAGTCACATGAACTAATAATTCAATTCCATTAGACTGAAGGGAAAAAAAAACCTCATATTGTAGAAGCATTTCTTGACTGGCTACTCTGTGCCAGGTCCTATACTAGGTGCTGAGGAAATAGAGATGAACCAGAGACCTGCCCTCAGGGCTTAATACTTTGCTTTATGCCTTCCAAACTAGACTGGGGCTTCCAGAGGATGAGGACTCAGGTCTCATTCTTCTGTGAGTCCCCATCACCAACCACAGACCAGCCCATAAGAAAGTTTTAAGGCCCAGTTGGTGTGGATCAGTGACTGAGCATTAACCGTGCACCAGGAGGTCAATTCTTGGACAGGGCACATGCCTGGGTTACAGGCTTGATCCCCAGTAGGGGACATGCAGGAAGCAGCCAATCTATGTTGATGTTTCTCTTTCATCGAAGTTTCTATTGCTCTTTCCCTTCCTCTCTCCCTAATAATAATAATTATTATTAATAAAGAAAGCTTTCTGAGTAAAAGATTGACTTTTTTGCCCAGCTGGTGTGGTTCAGTGGTTTAGTGTCACCCTATGAACCAGGAGGTCACCATTCAATTCCCAGTCAGGGCACATGCCTGGGTTGCGACTGAACAATAAGTCTCTCATCATTGATGTTTTTATCTCTCTCCCCCTCTCCCTTCCTCTCTGAAATCAATAAAAATATATTAAATAAAAGATTGTCATTTTTTAGTTGTAGCTTCAGCCAGGACAAGTCACTTCACTTTCTTATATGCTAACGGGGGGCATGATTCCCAGGGCAGGAATGAGAATAAGAGGAAACTATGGATGCTAAAGCCCTTTGGAGATCAAATACCCTGTCGTATGCATGAAAGATAGTGACAATCTCCTGCGTTCTCTGCCAGGGTCTGCCATACTCCTCAAGAACTGTGGAAGCAGCTCTCACTAGCATTGAATTCACATCAGTCAATTCTGGCCCTTCCTGAATCCTTGAGAAATTTCTGCTCAGAGCCATGGATTTCCCTCTCCAGCATATGGGCTCTGACTGTTAGGAAACCACCATCGTGCCTCCTCCTTTCAGCCCAGGCCCTGGCTTGTATAAAACACAATGAAAGAGATGATAATATCTCAAGGCAGAAAGGGCCAGGTCTGGGGAGTATCTTCTAGATACATCAGAGCTGGAGACATGGTTGGGATATTACGTTAGAGACAACAGAAGCTAAGTGATGGGGAGGGACCTGACTGTGGTCCCCAGCAAGTCAACAATAGGGCCAAGGTAAGACTCCAAATCCTGGTTCCCGTACTCTCTATTCCATCTAAAGGCCACCAAAGCCCTTCCCCATCTGAAGCCTCTTAACATTCTTTCTCTCTTCATCCCCAGACACCTAAGCGCCCCAAAGGATTCTTACTGTTCTCTAAACACATCATCTGCTTTCAGCTTCATGTCCTCACATGTTATATGCCTCGCATGTTATGTGCACCCCTGTTCTCCCACTCATCTACCAGATGAACTCCTACTTATCCCTCAAAGTATATTAAAATGTTTCCTTTCCTGAAACAAAAGTATAAGCTCAAGTATAAACTCTGTTTGTCCAGAACCCATTCCTCTCTCCCCCAGTTTATCCAGAACCCATTCATCTCTCCCTCTTCTATAATTGTCTTTGTCCTCATTACACTGTATTTTTCTTTAGGATAGGGATTATTTCTGCTTCATCTTTCTGTCAAAGGGCCTATTCAAGGTGTCTGGCACTTGTTGGCACTTAGTAAATGTTAACCAAACAGTGAAACAAAGGAATATGAATCGAATTACTTAATCTCTTAGAGCAGCCGTGGGCAAACTACGGCCCGTTTGAAATGAATAAAACTAAAAAAAAAAAAAAAAAAAGACCGTACCCTTTTATGTAATGATGTTTACTTTGAATTTATATTAGTTCACACAAACACTCCATTCATGCTTTTGTTCCGGCCCTCCGGTCCAGTTTAAGAACCCATTGTGGCCCTCGAGTCAAAAAGTTTGCCCACCCCTGTCTTAGAGTCTTCACTTCATTATCCTTGATATGAAAGAAAGTCAAACATTTGGCAAAGGTAAGTGGTGGATAATGAATGTAAAACAAATACCACCATCATTGACTCAGTTGCTGAAGTGAAAAATGGTCAGTGTTCAAAATTTCCACTTATCCCGCTCCAGTCACCATGACTTTTTTAACCTGTCAGAGAACCTTGATAAGAAACTCTAGGTTACCAGGGAATCTCCCATCATGCCAGAGCTGTCAGAAAGGATGGGAGGTAAAGGGTGCTTGAGGTAGAGATCATACAAGGAAAGGAAGCAGAGGGAGAGACTAACGGGGACATAAGTCACAGGGGGCGCAAATAAGGGATCCCCAGAGAAGGGAGAGGTCAGGATGGATCATGGGGTCATAGAAACCATTCAGTCTCTGCCCTCAAGGAGCTCATAGTCAGTTGGGGAAACATAGACGCACAATTTTATTCAAAACCAAACTGTAGAGGATCACTATTTCCTTCCTGATATTCCTTCTTTACTTGGCTTACAGGGTACCATCCAACTTACCAGACTTTCTAATGTTTTTTACTCTCTTTTTCAGTCTGGTTTGCTGCTCTAGTTTCCTCAAATTCAGAATTTTGAAGGAAACTATTTTCCATTTACACACACTCCGTTGGTGATCTCACCCAAACTCATGGCTTTAAATACCATCGATGTGCGAATGACTGACTCCCAAATGGATATCTTTAGCCTCGATCTCTCTCCTTCAGACCCTTATGCCTCTTTACCCCCTCGACATCTCTATTCTAATGAACATCTCAAACTCAACATACCCCAAAATGACCTCCAGATAGTTCCCCCCAAAACTAGCACCTCTCTTGTCTTTTCCATCTCAAGAAATGGCAACATTAGTCTTCTAGTTGTTCAGGTCAAAAATCTTGGCTCCTTTCTTCCTCTGATATTCTATATCCAATCTGTCAGCAAACATTGTTATCTCTACTTTCTAGATATAGTAGACTCTTGAACAACATGGATTTGAACTGCAAAGTCCACTTATACATGGACTTTTTCAGTTTATATTCGTACTGTTTTTGACTCACGTTTGGGAGTCCACAGATTTGGAGGGCCACCTATATACATTGATCAATATAGGCGACAGATGTGGGGATTTTACTATCTGTGGTGGGTCCTGGAACCAATCCCTAGCAGAGACTGAGGGACAATTTAAGTGTTGAGGGAGTAAAAAGTTATATGCAGATTTTTAAAAATATATATATTTTATTGATTTTTTACAGAGAGGAAGGGGGAGAGATAGAGAGTTAGAAACATCGATGAGAGAGAAACATCGATCAGCTGCCTCCTGCACATCTCCTACTGGGGATGTGCCCGCAACCCAGGTACATGCCCTTGACTGGAATCGAACCTGGGACCTTTCAGTCCACAGGCCGACACTCTATCCACTGAGCCAAACCGGTTTCGGCTATATGCAGATTTTTAACTGTGCAGGGGTTGGTGCATTGTTCAGGGTCAACTGTATATTCAAAAGTCAATCACTTCTCATCCCCCACCTCTGCATTATTATAATAGGCTCCCAATTGGTCTCCCTGCTTATTCCACTGCCCCTTATAAATCTACTCTTCGTAGAACAGCCAGAGTAATTCTCTTAAAATATATATCAGATTGTGTGGATCTTCTACTCAAAAATCTTCACCAGGATCCTCAACATGGAGTAAAAGCCAAAGTCCCTATTTTGACCTGATAGGCTCCTATCTGGCTCCTGCTACCTCTCTTACTCTCCCCAGGATACGCTATGCTCTAGCTATTTCTAGGGCCTTTGCACTTGCTGTCCCTGAAATGCTCTTCCCTAAATATCAGAATAGTATTCTCTCTCCTTTTCTTCAGAACTTTCTTCAAAAGTCACCTTCCCTGAAAGGACTGTCTTGACTCTCCTACCTAAAATAAAATCTATCCTCCACAAAAATAATTAAAATAAAAACTCCCCTGCCAGTGTTTTATTGCCACTTCACTGGTTTGTCTCCTTAGTATTTACTGCAATCTTAAACTACATGTCTTATTTATCTTTACTGTTTATCTCATTAGATTAGAAACTTCATAAGGAGAAAGATTTTTTTTTCAATTTTCAATCCTTACCTGAGAATATTTTAAAATTGATTTTAGAGATAGAGGAAGGCGGGGAAGAGAGAGAAACACCAATGTGAGAGAAACATCAATTGGTTGCCTCCCACAACCTAGGTATGTGCCCTGACCAGGAATCAAATCTGCAACCTTTTGGTGTGCAGACAAATACTCCACCAATTGAGCCACCCGGCTAAGGTGAGAAAGATTTTTTTGGTTCGTTTTGTTCATTATTGTATACCCACTACTTAAAATACTGACAGGCACATAGTGAGGCACTCAATAGGTATTTATTGAATGGATGAATGAAAACAATGGCCATTTTCAAGAGGCAAATTTTACCCTTTTTAAAAAATATATTTCTTTATTGATTTCAGAGAGGAAGGGAGAGGGAGAGACAGAAACATCAATGATGAGAGAGAATCATTAATTAGCTACCTCTTGCATGCCCAACACTGGGGATCAAGCCCACAACCTGGGCATGTGCCCTGACCGGGAATAGAACCCTGACCTCCTGGTTTATAGGTTGGTGCTTAACCACTAAGCCACACTGGCCAGGCCAAATTTTACTCTTTTTTAATATATATATTTTTTTATTGATTTCAGAGAGGAAGGGAGAGGGAGAGATAGAAACATCAATGATGAGAGAGAATCATTGATCGGCTGTCACGCTGGCCAGGCCAAATTTTACTCTTTTTTAATATATATATATTTTTTATTGATTTCAGAGAGGAAGGGAGAGGGACATCAATGATGAGAGAGAATCATTGATCGGCTGTCTCCTGCACACCCCCTACTGGGGATCAAGCCTGCAAGCTGAGCATGTGCCCTTGGCTGGACTCAAACCCAGGACCCTTCAGTCCACAGACCAACACTCTATCTACTGAGCCAAACCAGCTAGGGCCAAACTTTACTCTTTAATGAAAAACTTTATAACAAGCAGAGAAGGCTGGGCAGAGATTATGATGGCAGATGAAGAGGAAACAATTCAGGGGAAAAGTCATGTTAAAGGTCACATCTTGTTGGGGAAGGAGTGTATTTTTGAGTTACTAGCCCTGGAAGAGGCTAATAGACTGATGGGTGATGGAGCTTAATGGGAGTTGGGTATGAAAGACCTCTTGCTGGAAGACATGAGGATCTCTGAAAAGGATGGTGAGTCAGAGGTTACAAGTACAGAGACATCAGCAAAAAAGTGGAATAGAGGGTGAGGCTGACCACTAATCGAAAGGGCAGCTGAATTTCTCAGCAGCAGAGGAATTCAGCTGTGCCCAAGGCTGACTAGTCACTTAAGCCCTTGCATAATCTCAAATACAGAACTGGACAGGCAATCTTAACAAACAAGTGAGACCTCTGCCGGTCTGCAGTCTTGCTTCCCCATTGGACTGTGAGGTGTTTTGGGTAGGGACCATGTTCCTGGATTTATCTTCAGCTTCTTGCAGAGCCTGGATTATAGTAGGGACTCAAATATAGGGTATCCCAAAAAAATGTATACACACTTTGAATGATTATAAAGTGTTTATTAACATACAGTTCATTTTCAAAATTTAACAGAGTCTACAGAAATGAATATATTTGTTGTTGTTCAATGTGTTTTCAAACTGGTGACCATTCTGCCAATAATGTGAAGCAATGGAATCACAAACATCAAGGATCATTTCGTTCAGGACTTGTGCACCCTCAATTTGTCAACTGTTGCCAGTTTTGTACCGTAACTTATCTTTTATGTAGTCCCATAAAATAGTCCAGTGGATAAATTTTCTTTGTTCAGAGCTTAGTCTGGCTTCACCCATTATTTCAAATCAGTTAAACCTGAAAAGGAGTAAAAATTAAGTATCAGCTGTTAAAGTGTATACATTTTGTCCCCCCCCCCCCAAAATGTTTACACACTTTAATTATAAAGGCAGTGTTTGTACTTCAACTGCGTGTTCAAACTTCCAATAGCATTTTAGGGATGAATTTCTTTTGTTTTTGTTAGTTTCTTTATTTTTATTCATTTCAGAGAGTACGGGAGAGGGAGATAGAAACATCAATGATGAGAATCATTGACGGGCTGCCTCCTGCCTGCCCCCTACTGGGGAAGGAGCCCACAACCGCACCGCGGGCATGTGCCCCTGTCCCCAATGGAACCTGGGACCCTTCAGTCCACAGGTCGAGGCTCTATCCACTGAACCAAGCCAGCTTGAGCTGAATTTCCTGTTTAAAGCTTAGTCTGGCTGAAAAGAAAGAAACATAAGTTGAGCTATCAGCTGTTAAAGTGTGTATACATGTTTTTGGGACACTCTGCATTTTCGCGGAAGGCATACATAAATAAACGCATGCGCCAAACCGGAAACTGGGAGTCAGAGAGGACAGACAGAAACTGTGTAAAACCACCCAGCGATTCTGGGTTAGAAGCAGATTAATTTCCCTAGTACACAGCATAACAAACAGGCCCACCGCTACCGCAGCTGACACCTAGCCATTTTCCCGCACGGGTTGGCGTGCAAATACCGCCCGTAGGCGGAGGGGCGGGGTTACGTGGAGCCGTAGGCAAGGGCTACCGGAACCGGGCAGATTGGAGAGGCCGATTGGCTGAGTTTCAAGGCGGGGCCAACAGAGAAGGCGCAACAAATTTCCGTCTCCAACTACGCGACTAAAGTGTGTAACGTCACGTCCGGTCTGGTGGGCGGGAGCGGGAAACAAAAGGAGGCCTAGAACGCATGCGTTCGGTGTGTCCCAGGTTCTGGCGGGTTCTTCCGCCGAGGCGGAGTGAAGTGCTTCCGGGTCACTGCCGGCTGCCGCCTCCCGGCGCGGTAAGTACAGAAGCAGGACTGCGTCTGCAGTCTCTTTGCCGGTTCTTCCCTCCCCCAGAGAAACCCGCGCCCCTGACCCGCCTCCCCCAGAGATCCGTGTTTAGGCTACCCTTCAATATTAAAGAGCGCCAGCTCATTGGCCGCTTCCGCGAGACTAAGCCCCACCCCGTCACAGGTTCCGTCACTCATTGGTCTCGCGTCTTGTCACCAGCAGTTCTTCCAGTTAATTGGCCCTATTTAAGCCCCGCTCCTTTCGCCTTTAGCAACCCTAGAAGGGTAAATGCGTCTCCGAAACCCGCCCCTGCCTTATTCCTGTTGGTCAGCCTCACGGCCATTATCATAATAAGCAAAGAATGGGCGGTGGCTTTGCGGCGATGGTTTGGGTTTTCGGAACTTGGGTCTCTGTGCTGCTCAGTAATTCTGGGGCGTGATGGCTGGTACTGTTGTGCCGGTGACGTGGTCTGGGAAGCTCAGGTTCACGGAAGGGTAGGGCTGGCCCTGAATCGGCCAAATAAGTTAGGGCGAAAGCAGAACTAGACCTAGATCCTTTCTCCTGCTCATCGCTAGTAGCGGACCGGGCCTCTTTCCCGCCGGAGTCCGAAGCCTCAGGTCACTGTGTGACCCAGAGCCCCGTCGTTGCCTGTTGCTGAGCCTCCGTTTTCCTGTGAGCCAGAAGGTTTTAATTCATGTTCCCTGGGACCTTCTTGGTCAGCTCCCTCAGCTGCTTAATCCGAGCGGAATGTACTTGTTCTCTCACATGTTAGTTCGTTCAGCCTCCCATCTACTTATGTATACATGTACCCATGCCTTTAGAATGTCTTAGTGAACCATACTTGCACGCCTTACCCCCCCCTTCTCCGCCCCCCCCCCCCCAAATTTGGCTGTGGTCTATGAAAGGTGATTAGTGTCCTAAATTTCGGACACTGCGTAGATATGTATGGATAATCATAGAGGACAAAAAAATCGGTTTTAGTGTTTGAAGGAGATAGAGACAGTTTCGTGGAGCCCTGCTACCTCTACTTTTGTAATGCCAGTCTGCATTTTGGATTCCTGTCTCTACATTTGGCTTCCATTCCTTCCCTCTTTGAACAGCTTACAGTTTTACTTATCCATAAAGTAAATTACCTTACTTAACGATCAGAATACATGTGAGGGTGGTATATTGTTGTTATCCCCATTTTACAGATGAGGAAACAGGCTCAGAGAGGTTCAATGACTTGGCCGAAGTCAAACAGCTATTAAATGGTGGAGCCAGGACTCAAACCCACGTCTGTCTGACTCCCACAGAGAAGAGCTAGCTGCTTCTCTGCTCCCTTCCACTCCCCGCCACCGCCAAGTCAAACTGTAACCCAAATCAAAACCAACACATCTGAGCGCTGGATTCACCTGGCCTTTTCTCTCAGTCTAGGAGCCATGTCCACCTTGTTTCCCTCCCTCTTCCCCCGTGTGACTGAAACTCTGTGGTTTAATCTGGATCGGCCTTGTGTGGAAGAGACAGAGCTGCAGCAGCAAGAACAGCAGCATCAAGCCTGGGTGAGTGAGCACCTAGCACAGCGGTGAGCCTCAGTCGGGGATTCCCCCCTTCACTGGCCATGATCCAGCCTTTCTCTAGAGACCTGCCCTGGAGCAGCTTTTTGCTTTGAGCTGAGAATAATCAGGCTGGGAGCTGGGTTGTCATCTTTGCGTTACCCTAATTGTCCACAGGACCATGGGACCTCTGGGCCAGATTGGAGCCCAGGTTCTTCTCCAAAAAGCATAGGAAATAATAATTTTGACTATTTATTGAGGACCTAGCAGATGCCATGTTCTAGGCTGATAGTCTTTCACTTCACCCTCACCATAATATGAGAAAACCAAGGCCCAGAGAGTTTATGTAATTGGATCAAGTCCATAACTATTATGTAATTGGATCAAGTTGCAGATGACAGGAGAGAAAGGGATTGAATCTTCTGAGAATTGGAAGCTTCTCCTTCACACTTGGAGGTGGTTGGGGGGTGGGGGGGATCTTCTTGTGGGCAGAGTGGTCCAGTCTCATGCTCCTGACCTGCTTGGGCCCTGGCCCTGCTTTTTTGTGTCTCCTTTGGCCACAGCTCCAGAGCATCGCAGAGAAAGACAACAACCTGGTACCTATTGGCAAGCCGGCCTCAGAGGTGAGTGGGGCCCAGGTGGACTAAGGCTCTGCTCTAATTCTGAAGGTCCTGCCTCTGACTCCAGAGCAATTGTGATCCTCAGCTCTGGATGGAGGCCAGAAACGGGAGCTAGAGGGGGTGGGCTTTGGGCCCAGATCTAAGGTCCTGCCGAACATGCACCAGCCTGCTAGACTCAAGCAGGGTTGGGGAGTAGGGGTCATTTGTTGACTCCAGAGAGGCTCCAAGTAGGCTAGCCCTTAAACTGGTCCAAGAAGGCTGTAGAGTCTACAGGCTCTCCCCTGCCTCACCAGCACTATGATGATGAGGAAGAGGAGGATGAAGATGATGATGAGGATAGTGAAGAGGACTCAGAGGATGATGAGGACATGCAGGACATGGACGAGATGAATGACTACAATGAGTCACCTGATGATGGAGAGGTCAATGAGGTAGGCAGGGGTGTGGGATGGGCCTCTGCTCCTGGGCCCCTGCCCCTGACCTAATTGGTGGCCAAGGGGTACAGAAACC